AAAAAAAAAAAAAAAAGAAAAAAAGTAGGAGCCATGAACAAGCAGAGAAAAGCAAAAGATGATGACCGATGCCTGGTCCTGTGGCTGGAATTTCGGGGAACTGGGGGTTGGAGAAAGGAGAAGAGAAAGTTGCAGCAGAGGAAAATGAAACAGGAAGATGCTCTGGGGACCTATTTTTTAATGTTATCTTCAACAGTCATGAGAAGCAGTGATGATTATCGCATATCACGATAGGAAATCTGGGTAATATTACTTATTTATATTTGTTCACATTTCAACACATCTGACATTTGTAATTTTAACCCCATCATTCACCCTCCCAACCCTGCCATGAGTAAGTAAAGCAGGGCCAGTGCCAAGCTGTCCATCTGGGCCACAGTAGTGTCACGTGAACCCCGGAACTCTAGTCTCCTTGCCTAGTGCTTTTCAGAGCTCTGTGCCATACAGGAGTGGATCTGGCCTAAAGCTTATAGAATTCTGGGGATTGTCTTTAAGAAAAATAATTCGAAAGCATCTTTTTTTTTTTTTTTTTTTTTGAGACAGAATCTCATTTTGTCACCCCTGGTAGAATGCTGTGGCATCACAGCTCATAGCAACCTCGAACTCTTGGGCTAAAGCAATTCTCTTGTCTCAGCCTTCTGAGTAGTGGGACTATAGGCATCTGCCACAACATCCAGCTATTTTTAGAGACAGGGTCTCACTGCAGCTTAGGTTGGTCTTGAGCTCATGAGCTCAAGCAATCTACTTTGGCCTCCCAGAGTGCTAGGATTATAGGTGTGAGCCACCACTCCCATCTCTCACTCAATAGTATCTTATTTTTGTAAATGTTACAAAATATATCACTATGTTAATATGGCCCTTGCCAGGACCTTAAAAGGGGCCCATGAGGGTCAGGGCCTTGGTTATGCCTCATTAGCTCCGTAATTCATGTTCCTCTTGAGCCACACCAAGTCACAGGGCCCTTCCCAGTCATATCTCCAGTCAAGGGGACTACGCTACCTCCAAACCAGCCTCTTGCATTTTGAGTCCTATGAGAAATTTTCTGATACAAATTGAAATCTGCTTCTAGAAGATTATGATAACACTTAGAAGATTGTTATTTTAAAAGAAGAAGATCAACAAAACAAAAAGTTGGTTCTCTGAAAAGATTAATAAAATTGATAAACCTTAATATGAAAGGCAGGTACATGATTCAGTGGAAAGAGAACTAATCCTGATTCTACCACCAATGTGCCATATGATTTTACACTGGATACTTCTGATCCTTTTTTTCTTCAACATAATGAAATGCACTTAAAAGCCTCTAGGCCTGTATCAGTTCTGACATTCTCGACTTTGCATACATTAGATTGAACTACATAAAATCACCAAATTTGTAGATCAAAAACAGCTGAATCTCAGTACTTTCATATGGTTCAACCTAATATGTACAGTATGGTGGTGAATAATTCACAAGCTACTTGCTCCAAATCCCAGGATGGAAACATCCACTATTCTGTTTGTCCAATTTCAATTTAAGGTACATCCAAGTGGTCCCCTGAAGGCCCTACTGAAACATACCATATACATATTTGTGTATAATAGAACTCAGAATATTTTATTGCAGTTATCTCTAATGAATAGGATTATGGGTGATTTCTCCTTTCCAATTTATAAATTTATGTAATATTTGACTCACTTGACCATGTTGCTTGTATAAAAACAGGAAAAAAGCTACTTCTGCTTTGAAACAAATAAAAATAAATCCCTATATGTTTCTTGAAAAAAAAAAAACAGAAAAGAGAGGAAGTCAACAACTTAATGGGTCATCTCAAGCAACTGGAAAGAGAAGAACAATCCAACCCTAAACACAGCAGAAGAAATAACCAAAATTAGAGCACAACTAAATGAAACTGAAAACAAAAGAATCATTCAGAAGATCAATAAAACAATAAGTTGGTTCTTTGAAAAGATTAATAAAATTGATAAACCTTTGGCTAACTTAAGAAGAAATAGAAAAGTAAAATCTCTAATAATGTCAATTAGAAATGATAGGGAGAAATAACAGATACCACAGAAATTCAAAAAAATCCCCTGAACCTCATAAATGCATCAATGTACAATGTTAGGATTTAATAAAAAATAATTTTAAAAAATTAAAACATTAAAAAAAAGAAATTCAAAAAAATCCTCAATGGTTACTACAAAAAACTCTATTCTCAGAAATAATAATAATATGGAGGAAATGGACCAATACCTAGAATCTACACACCATCTTCCTAGATTCAACTGGAAGAATGAGAAATTTTTAATAGACCTATATCAAGCACTGAAATAGAAATACAAAATCTCCCAAAAAAGAAAAGTCTGGGACCAGATGGCTTCACATCAGAATTCTACCTAACCTTCAAAGAGGAACTAGTACCTATATTACATAATCTTTTCCAAAACATAGAAAAAGAAAGAATCCTTCCCAATACATTCTTATGAAGCAAATATTACCTTAATTCCCAAACCAGGAAAGGACCCAACAAAGAAAACTATAGACTAATATCATAATGAAGGAGGAGGTTATTATTTTTTGAGACAGAGTCTCACTATGTCACCCTCAGTAGAATGCTGTAGTGTCACAGCTCACAACCTCAAACTCTTGGGCTTAAGTGATTCTCTTGCCTCAGCCTCCCAAGTAGCTTGGATGACAGGTGCCTGCCACAATATCCAGCTATTTTTTGTTGTATTTGTCGCGGTTTAGCTGTCTCTGGGTGAGTTCGAACCCGCCAGCCTTGGTGTATGTGGCTGGTGCCCTAACCACTATTTTATGGGTGCTGAGCCTATAATTCCTGAGGGAACTCAGAGTTTCTCTTTAGGTTTATATCCCCCTACCTTTTTCTCTCCAAACCTCTGACTCTCTGAGAATTCAATGCTCAGTATGATGCATAAGCATGACTTCAGAACATGTCAGAAATGCAAAGTCTCAGGCCACACCCCAGACCTACAGAATGAGAAAATGCTGGGGGGTGCTTAGGACTTTGTTTTAACACTTTAGGTGATCAGGATATCAAAAGTTTGAGATCTGCTCTAGCCATTCTTTCCTTTTTCCTTATTTCCTCTCTCTGTAAGTTTAACTCACCATAAAATAGAAACGAAATTCTGTTTTACACTCACTGTAAACAATATTTTAGGGCCAGGTGTGATGGCTTATGCCTGTAATCCTAGTACTCTGGGAGGCTGAGGCGGATGGATTGCCTGAGCTCATCATGGCTTTGAGACCAGCCTGAGCAAGAGCCAGACCGTCTCTAAAAATAGCCAGGCATCAGTGCAAGCATGCTAGAGCTACAAGGAGCCCTGGGCTGCCACCCCTTCCCTCTTTCCCACTGTCAACCATTCACAACCTTAGACCTATTCCAACAATCATTTAAAACATGGTGGATTACTATGAAGTTCTAGGTGTGCAGAGACATGCCTCAGCCGAGGATATTAAAAAGGCGTAATGAAAATTGGCACTAAAGTGGCACCCAGATAAAAACCCTGAGGAGAAAAGCTGAGAGAAAATTTAAACAAGTAGCTGAGGCATATGAGGTGCTGTTACATCCTAAAAAGTAGGACATCTATGACAAATATGGCAAGAAGGATTAAACGGTGGAGGAGGTGGAAGTCATTTTGACAATCCTTTTGAATCTGGCTTCATATTCAGTAACCCAGAGGATGTCTTCCGGGACTTTTTTGGCGGAAGGGACCAGTTTTCATTTGACTTCTTTGAAGACACATTGAAGGACTTTACTGGGAATCGGAGGGGTCTCCAAGGAAGCAGGAAACCGAGGAACGGGGTCATTTGTCTCTGCCTTCAATGCATTTCTACCTTTTGGAAGTAGATTTTCTTCTTTTAGTATAGGATTTTCTTCCTTCAAGTCGCTAGATCACCAGGGGCTTACTTCATTCTCTTCTACATCATTTGGGGGTGGTGGGATGGGCAACTTCAAGTCTATATCAACTTCTACAAAAATAGTTAATGCAGAAAGATCACTACAAAGAGAATAGTCAAGAAAGAATGGAAGTTGAGGAAAACGGCAAGCTCAAGTCCTTGACAATAAATGGTAAGGAGCAGCTGTGCTTAGATAACAAGTGACTCAATGTACAAGCACCATTTGAGGACTAACAGAAACTTTTTTTTAAGATTTCAAACAAACTTGACTTTACAACATCACTGTACGTAATCTGAGTATTTATAAACCACTCATTGGAGCCATATTTGTCATAGACTTTTGGGTTTATTGTTGGGACCACGTAATAGGAACCACTTATTTGTCTTTAAAATTTTTGTAAATTTCTGTATGCAATTTGCTTTTTTATTAAACGTACTCCAGGTGAGTCCTGAATCCTCAGTAGAGATAGAACAAGAGTGTGCACTAACAGCAGTATGGAGCTGCTTTTCCATTGTGTCTGAAATGTGAGCCAAGTAGCGTCAGCCTGCTGTGAAGTTAACATTGCAGGATGAACCTTCTACAGAAATAATTTCAGTTATTTTCAGTATTTAGTAGCGAAAGATATTAACACATTAATGGGAACACATTTTTGGTTTACTATAAATTAAGGATGTTTTCTAGCTGTGCATGAAGCTGGCATCT